AGGTTGCCCAGGGTAGTGCTGATATTTCGATGAACATCACTGAAGTCAATCAGGCGGCACAGGTTTCCGGTGAAAGGGTGAAAGAAGTCGCAGGCCGGGTTGACGACGTATCGACCCAGATCAACACCATCAGAAACGGTCTCGCCGATTTCCTGGACCATTTGAGAGCTGCGTGACGCAACCGGAGTGTCCTGAACGGAAGGTGCTCCCGCTCAGGACATTTTCGAGCGATGCGCCTCACTCCATCTTTGGAAAGTTCATCAATCTGTAATTCAGATCAGATACGCGCGTGCAATGTGTCGACCGTATCACAACAACCGTTCTTTCCTTGATCGGTCGTTTCATCGCCTTGCCGGAACACAATGGCAGATAGATCGCTCCTTCCTCCGCCAGTTCATGTACCACGCCTCTTGAAAGTGACAGCCCTTGTGCCAATACCTTGTCCATTCGCACCGGACACTTATGCGGATTCAAGATGGTCAGGTTTGATTGAGAACCGTTTTCGCTCGTGCGGACCTGCAACCGTTTTGTGATCGAGAACTCGGGACCATGTCCCGACGCTACACAAGCCGAATTGGCGAGAGGATTTGAGGCAATTCGGTGCGCAAGGGACGCGTCGTTTTCCTGAAGTGATACCAGCAGATCACGCGGAATGTTCCCGACCGGTCGTCTTTCGAAGAGGGAGAGGTTCCAGCGATTGTCACATGCAAGACACTTGTAGATCAGCCAGGCATCCAACCGGCTACCATTCGCGTTCAGCCGGAATTTGCCGGTCGAGGCAAACGAACTGATTGCGCCACAGCGGCGACAGGGGTGTTTGATTTGGAGGGATTCGGTTGTCAGGACAGTCCATTCAACACTTGATAACAATGACATTCCGTCGGTCTTCCTGCAAAGGGAAGTCCGTCGACGGGCGGTCGGGATCCTGCCGGCTGGAGAGCCGGCGGAATTCGGTCTGGCTGTGTTGGATATTCAGGATGTTGTGGCGTATCGGAAAACAATACGGCAAGGCAAAGCCACACCGGTCCCGATCCGCCTCATGACGAACAAGTCAATGGGTCACTCCTGCGAGTAACCAGCGGATACGAAGACCGGTCAGAGTGTAGGCAAGACGATCATCCTGATTGAAAAACGGATCGGTTTTTTAGCCGATGCTGACGGGATGGACAAGAGGTACCGGGAAAGCACGATTTCCAGGTGATGCCGTGGCAACACTCAGGCGCCCCTGGCCTCCCTGGCCAGGTTTACAAGCACCGGGCGGACTTCTTCCGGCTGGTCGAGAACATTTGCAAACCACAGCCGCTCAACCTTGTCGCCAGCAACAAGATCCAACCCTTCGGGATCAAGACCTGCGAGACGCCAGTTTGCAGTTTCTGCCTTGCACAGCACTTCAGCATAAAGCTTGACGGCGTCGGCGTGGTCTTCATTCATGTGTGTCACTGCACCACGTTCCATCGCAATCCAGCTTTCAGCATCGCCGAGCGGTGACAGCATGTCTTCAGACTGAAGTTCAAAAGCCTTGCCAAAGCCGCCATTCAGGCTTGCCCGTTCGAGCTCGAGCCGAAAAAGGAAAAGTCGCCAAAATCGGCATAAAGCTCGGCTTTGGGATGGCGCAACAGGTAGCGACGACGCAGTCGTTGATGAACGTCGCCACCACGCTCGATCCGGTGCGCTTTGCAGAAAAGGGAGACTCTGGGATGGGCAAGAGGATCGCCTTTCCCGGGCTCCCCGAGCAAGAGGGAACAGACCGGTGTTTCCAGGATCGCGGCCGTATGGCCTGACAAGGTGCTGGTCAATATGACGGGCGTCCCGTCGAGATCCGTTGCAACAGCAACACGGCTGGCAAGCGGAAGTCCTGTGCCCGCTTCCAAAACAGCGAGTGCACCGAAACGGGCCTTCCGGATCAGGGTCCTTGCCAGCCGACGCGACGCGTCATCCGTTTCCCTGACTACTGACTGCGGTTCTCTTTCGTTTTTGTCTTCTGATTCCAAACCGGTCTCCTGCACTCATGCCGCGTCTCGAATAGCTCCCTCCGGAACAAGAAACACCACAGCAGAAACCTGAACGCAAGATGAACGGCCACATCAGAACCGGTTCAGGGCATCTGTGCGATTGTTCATTCGTCAGCTACGGCGCCAGACAGTAAGGCGCAGGCACCTGGAGAAACAACCGATGAAAAAAATGAGCAAAAGCCTGATTGCCGTCGCCCTGTCCGGCGCTTTATTGGTCCCGACAATTGCAACAGCCGAAGCCGGTCCGAAACGAGGCTGGAACGGTCATCATCACGGTGGGCACCACTACAACCACAGACGTCATAGAAACAACAACAACGTTGGCGCAGCCGTTGCAGCAGGTGTGATCGGTCTCGCCGCGGGCGCAATCCTTCTTGGAGCCGCAAACCGGCCAGCTTATGCTGGACCGCCCCCACCCCCGCCGGCGAACTACTACCCACCTGCGCCCTACCCGGGTCAGGTTCACGGCGCGGTCGGATACCAGCCCTGGAGCCCGGCCTGGTACCAGTACTGTTCATCGAAATTCCGGTCCTTCAATCCCTCGACCGGCACCTACACCACCTATCGGGGCGAGCAGCGTTTCTGCCAGTAACTTTCCGAGTTCGTCCCGCACCTTCCGGCAGCAGGCAAACCGTCAGCCGAACTGACCTCCCGTCTGCTGCATTTTTTTACCTGCGAAACTCGTGATACTGGCAAGGCCCAACTACTGGATTGGCATTGACAATCTTAAAGTCAGATGCGCTTCTTAGCTCAATGCATCGGGCTATTCTTCATGGTTCAATCGTCTGTTTCTTGACCCTGCTCACGCAGATCGGCGGGGTGGCCTGGTTGATTGCACTCGTGACCAAACACCGGCTTCTAACGTTCGCATCTCTTTATGTGGCGCTCACGATTGCAACAATGTTTGTGGCTCCCATGTTTGGACGCGTACCACTGAACTGTCGGTCAGAGGGAGCATTCAAAATGCAGTCTCCGGTCTATTGCGTACTCAACCGGAACTATGTCTCGCCTGAACTGCGCAATGTTGTGCAAGAACTTGCAGATAACGTGTCTAATCAGTTTCCCGGGACAATCACGTTGGCGCTTGATGGAAGTTTCCCCTTTTTTGACAGTTTTCCGTTACTGCCGCACTTGTCCCATGATGATGGGCGAAAACTGGATCTCGCCTTCTATTATCGCAACGATACAGGCTATCTGCCTGGCAAAACTTCTTCGCCAATCGGCTATTTCGATTTTGTAGACGGTGAAACGTCATGCGCCGACAAGTGGCGGTCGTTGCGATGGAATCTGGAGTGGCTGCAACCCCTCTGGCACGATTTTCAAATTGAACCCGCACGCACGCGAGCGGCAATCGCGTGGTTGGCGCATGACCCTCGCGTTCAAAAAATTCTCCTGGAGCCTCACTTGCGAGAAACCCTCGCCGTTCGGTTCGACAAAATACGCTTCCAGGGTTGTTTCGCTGCCCGTCATGACGACCATATCCATTTTCAAATTCATTGACAGATCAGATACGTACAGGTCTTGCCATGGCAGCCGATATCCAGATGCATATGCGACTTGTGAAACTCATCGCCTTCCGGGCTGAGAACAGTCGTAAAGCGCTCGCATGCACTCTTGTGAATGGCTTTCAAATACAGTCCTTGCGCGGTTTCCTGTCCCCAGTCCGTTTCTACTGAAACCGAAGATCCGTCGCGCATTCTAAATCCGGAAATATCAACCGCCTTGCCCAGCGCATGCTCGGAGAGTTTGCCGTCAGGCAGGTTGTTGCGCCGGCGGCATTGATAACCCGGACCAGTGCCAATAACACCAACACCTGCCTTGAAGTGTTGCTCAGCCGCAGGCAGGGCGTCAATTTGGAGCCACTTCGTCAAAACCCTTGCAAACTCGCATGAAACCGTGACCGGATTTTTGAAACTTACGGAAGCTTCCTTGTACATTATCGCCGTGAGCCTGACAGGAGCCTCGACGCCGCAACCGGCATCGCCCGACCGTTCTCCGTTGATATCCGGAAGCAGAGAATAGGTCGCTCCTGTCAAGTTGCATTTCATTGGGGCTGCAGATGGCGCGATCGGTGTCTCCACACGTTCCCTGTCCCGATTGGGTTTGCGCTGCGGGAGGTCAACACCCTCGATAAAAGGCTGTTTGTTCGGGGTTTCCAGTGGCTTGGCGCGTGGCACCGGCTCCAAGGCGTTTACCGGAACCGATAGCATTGCAAGAACTGGCCAAATCACAAATCCGGAAACTGTGACTTTCAGCATGGGCAAACACCCTCTTGCGACAGGAATCAATTTATGGATGACTGCCGACCAGCATCAATCAACGCATATCGATTGTCGAGCCTCCAGAATGACACTTGAATTATATACTGCCTACGTCTTTGCGACACTCATCGTCCTCGCGATACCCGGACCAACCATCATGTTGGTCGTCAGCTACGCATTGACACAAGGACGCCGGTCTGCGTTCGCCAGCGTCATGGGCGTCGGACTTGGCGATGCTACCGCAGCAACCGTCTCACTCCTGGGACTGGGCGCCATTCTGGCAGCATCTGCAACTGCCTTTGCCCTGCTGAAGTGGGTCGGAGCGGCGTACCTTGTCTGGCTGGGGATCAAGATGTGGCGCAGCCGCCCGGGATCTTTGGGCGTGCAGCACGTGGAGAACATCCCCGTGCGCAAGATTTTCTGGCATGCCTATGTCGTCACGTCACTCAATCCCAAGGGCATTGTTTTCTTCATGGCGTTCCTGCCGCACTTTATCGCCCCTCAGGCCACGGTTGCTCCCCAGCTCGTTCTTTTGGGATCGACATTCGTCGTGCTGGGCATTCTGAACGCTGCGGTCTACGCATTTGCGGCGGCAGCGGTCGGACGAAAACTCAGGAATCCGTCACTACTAAGAATGGTCAACAAGGTTGGTGGCGGTTTTTTGATATCCGCGGCTGCCATGACGGCAACACTGCAACGCTCCACCGGCTAGCATCCTTTGCAGGTCTCATCGGCTGGCGGCAAATGGAACATTCTTTTTTGGACGGCGCTTCGATTTTTCGGTGTTCTCGTCCTCTGGCTTGGGGCCGAAAGTTGCTCCGGACTTTTTTAATGTCTCCAGAGAACGCTTTGCACCCTGTTCGCTGAGCGCATCATATCGCTGGATAGCCGCATTCAGCTCCAGCCCACCCATCCGCAACCGACGAGCGCGCATGGTCAGAATATCCTTGTAGGCAGCCGCGGTCACACCGTTCGCCTTGCATAGGATGATCAATGCCTTGTCGCTTGCACTGAACAGCAGTTGCGATACCGCCGCTTGAGGCAGGTCGCTGACCCTTGCCAGCAACATGCCCAGCTCAGCTGTACGGTCTGCCCTGGCGAAATTTTTCACCGCTTCGTCAATGTTTGTCTTCTTGCTCATCACATCCTTGATGAGCGCGTTTGACTCTTCTCTCGCATCGTCCAGCTTGTGCGTTCGCGCAGCAACTTCTGTTGCTGCTCTTTCCGCCAGCAGATGAACAAGGGTGTTGTCTGCCCCAAGCGCCGTAATCCGTTCCTGCAATGCAGATGTCAAAAACGGCAGCAAGGCATGCGCCGCCTCCTCCGGAAGATCCGGGCGACTGACCAGCGCCGCCTGAATCGATTCATCGGAACGCGCTTTTTCGACAAGTTTGAGGAACGATGCTTCAGCGAACTCCGCTCCCTCGTTTTCCGCGACTTTCGTCAAAACCTTGCTATCACCCCGGTCAACCAGCACTGACGTCACGGTCTTGTCGACCGTTTTTCGACCGGCAATCGCACCCAGGTGATCCATCGATGCAGAGGAAGCAATCTCCACCAGATCTTCGGACGTCAGCGCTGGGGAGTGTTCAAGCACCGGTTCCGCAACTGCGATCGTATCCTTCGCCAGTTTAACCATAAGCTCGTGAGGAGCACCCTCTTCGTGGCAAACTCTTTTTGCCAGGATCATGCGTGTTTCTTCTTCGAGCTGACCCAGCACCTTCAGAACGATATCGCCAAATAGCAGGCTGATCTGTTCGTCACGGTCGTCACCAGAACTGACAAACAGGTCAGTGAGCGTACTGATCAGGCTCTTGCGGCCGACAGCACTTGTATCTCTTGCCAGCTCCGCCAGTTTCGAAAGATTGAACATCTACACTCCGATGCGCCGACTGCGCTTCGGTTCAAGCTAGCAAGAGCATGTTAACATTACGCTACTCGTGTTTCGCCGTCCGGACGGCGTGTCCGGATCAATTTAAACCGATTGATATTGATTCGAGATTTGGCGCAATGAAAAAAAATCTGACCCAAACAGACAAACCTACGACTTTTGTACAACAGCTTATTTCGTTACCGATCAAGACTTTAAGGATAGAACACACGCACAGTTCAACCAATAAGCGCAATTTTCCGCTGCATCGCAGCATCTTTTTTGCTTCGTTTCCCTAAATCACTGCCTTAATATTGAAGTGTCAAAGTGAGGTAATCGGGAGCGGACAGATGACTCTAGCGCGGAACCTGAACAGGATTGCCTTTGTCGCAGCATTCGTATTCTTGGCTGCAATTGTGGTCGGCCTTATCTAAGCCGGTCCGAAATGCGAGTAAATATAACGCTTTAGGGCGTATGCTTGTAAACTGACAAAATGTAATAACGAAAAGTCTTGAAACTCACGCCAGCCGCACCAGAAGGTGTCGGCGGGCAGAGGGTGTTATCATTCGATTTTTCTGGCAAGACAATTGGCGCAAGGTGCCATGACGCGGGCCTTCGCGCTTGCAAGAAAGAATGTTGTCGAGTGGTCAATACGCACAACCTTTAATTGTGCAAATTATCCACAGGGCGATCTGGCCTGATGTGCCCGGTCCAAACCGCGTATCTCAACCGGGAAATCGGTTTGCTACGCAGCAAGCTCAAGCGTCTTCGCCATTGCCGCGTCCCTATTGGCCGGGTCGGCCATCAGTTGATCGGCTGCAACAATCGTAACATCCTTGATGCCGACAAAACCGAGTACGTGTTCAAGGTAGGTAGAAGCAAAATCTATTTCGGACCCTACTTTCGTACCCCCGGAAGCTACAAGAACATAAGCTCGTTTGTCTTCCAGCAGCCCGATCGGACCGTTTTCCGAGTAAACGAACGTTTCACGCGCTCGCGCAATCTGATCTATCCAAGCTTTCAGTGCAGCAGGAACGGAAAAATTGTAGATAGGTGTTCCGATCACAATGGTATCGGCCGACTTTAATTCACTCACCAGGGTATCGGAAAAAGCAAGTTTCATTCGCTGCTCTGCGCTTCGCCTGGCTGGATCGGTAAAATTGGCTCCAACCCATTCCTCGTCCAGATACGGCAATCCCTGGGAAACATCCCGTACAAGTACTTTTGCGTCGGGATCCTTGCCGATCAGGGTTTTCACCAAGGACTCTGTCAGAGCGCGCGTGACCGAATCTGTCTTTCTGGCAGAGGCATCGATTTGAAGGATAGTGCTCATGATGTTCTCCAAATTGCGAACCAAAGGCTTTTGTTCGAAAGCATGAGATAATAAGTTCGAATGAGGCAAACTAGGTGCAATTTTGTGAACAGTCCGTTGAGAGAGACGGTTGTCAGCTTAACTCATGCGTTCAGACTCGGGCCTTGTGTTCAGGAAGTCCGGTCGCAGCGTTTTGCTTTCGAAATTTTTCAGGGTGTCAGCGTATCTGTCCGACGTATCGCTGCATTCCGTCCGGAGACGGCATGTTTGCGTGTAAGCTGGCAAATTCTGAAAGTTTTTCAGCCACAACCGGCTCAGGCAGAGAACTGCGTCGTGTCGAAAGGTCGACATGCAACAACAACGTCTCCACTGTCGCCGCCAGCTTTTCATCGGCACCTTTCAGAAAATGAAAAAGGTGCAATTTCTTGCCGTCACCATTCAGAACCTGCGTTGTAACCGTCAGTGGTTCACCCGCGCTCAGTTCGTCAAGATGACGGATATGCGTTTCGACCGTGAAATAGCTATTGCCGGATTCGACGTAATCGGCATCAACGCCGATCATTGCCATGAATCTGTCGCTCGCAGCAGCTGCTGCCTCGAGGTAGTGGGCCTCGTTCATGTGCCCATTGTAGTCAACCCAGCTCTGGGGCACTTTCCGGCTTACGGTGACGGGCAGGACTGTGTTCTTGTGAACTGGAAAAGTCACCTCATGCCGACTGATAACCCCCCCAGCCCCGCTGCTGGTTTTTTTGAGGGCGCGCATCATTCCGACCAGATTATCGTCTCGCAGCTGCTCAAGCTCACGTATTGTCATGTGGCCGGACTGGGCATCTGATTGTCCCGCAATCAGACCCACCAGGTCATCGTCAAACTCCGGCACATCCATCAGTTTCGTCCACGGCCATTCCAGTGCCGGTCCGAATTGAGCCATGAAGTGCTTCATGCCCGCTTCACCTCCGGCAATCCTGTAGGTTTCGAACAGCCCCATCTGCGCCCAGCGAATTCCGAACGCCATGCGAATGGCTTCGTCGATCTCTTCCGTTGTCGCAACTCCGTCTTTGACCAGCCAGAGACTTTCCCGCCAAACGGCTTCCAGAAGCCGGTCGGCAATATGGGCATCGATTTCCTTGCGCAATATCAGCGGGAACATGCCGAGTTTTTTCAAGATGTCGGCAGCCTTGGCGGTTACTCCCGCATCTCCGACCAGTTCGACAAGTGGCAGCAGATAAACCGGATTGAAGGGGTGGGCGACGATTGCCCGAGCGCCTTTGCCATTCAATTCGGATGGTTTGAAGCCGGATGTAGATGACCCGATCACAGCGTCCGCAGCAGCAAGCTCTGATATCGCACACAGGGCATTGTGTTTCAGTTCCAGCCTTTCAGGAATACTCTCCTGAACCCAATCGGCCCCAGAAACGGCGTCGGCCATTTCCGCGTGAAATGTCAGCGTTCCTTCCGTCGGCATCAACCTGTCATAAAGGGAAGGAAGGCTTCTGCGGGCATTTGCGACAACTTCATTGATCTTGCGTTCGGCGTCCGGATCCGGGTCGAACACCGCAACGCTCCAACCGTTCAGAAGAAAGCGGGCCGCCCAGCCTCCACCGATCACACCACCACCGACAATAGCAGCTTTCATTTTGGAGCTTTCTTTGTCAGTCCGAGTTGGGACCGGACTTCGTCGGGGCCCATAACGCGCGCGCCCATTCCTTCAATCACCGACGCCGCTTTTTCAACAAGTTGCGCATTTGTTGCCAATACGCCTTTTTCCAGAAAGAGATTGTCTTCCAGTCCGACACGCACATTACCTCCCGCCAGAATTGCGGCAGCCGCATAAGGCATCTGATCCCGCCCCAGGCTGAAAGCTGACCAGTTCCAGTCTGGCGGGATCGCGTTTACCATCGCCATGAAGGTATTCAGATCGTTCGGAGCTCCCCACGGAACCCCCATGCACAATTGAACGAGCGCCGGGGAGTCCAGGGTTCCTTCGCTCACCAACTGCTTGGCGAACCAGAGGTGGCCTGTATCGAAAGCCTCGATTTCTGGCTTAACTCCAAGGTCCGTCATCATGGCCCCCATAGCACGAAGCATTCCGGGCGTGTTGGTCATAACATAGTCTGCTTCAGCGAAATTCATCGTCCCGCAATCCAGGGTGCAGATTTCCGGAAGACATTCCGCAATATGAGCCACGCGCTCGCTGCCACCAATCATGTCCGTCCCGGAATCATTCACCGGGAAGGGCGCTTCGGTTGGGCCAAAGACAATGTCTCCGCCCATACCAGCGGTTAGATTGAGAACCACATCAACGTCAGCAGCACGAATGAGATCGGTTACTTCGCGATACAGGTCGAGCCTGCGGGAGGGTACCCCTGTTTCCGGATCGCGCACATGACAGTGGACAACGGCAGCCCCCGCCTTCGCGGCATCGATTGCGCTATCAGCGATCTGTTTCGGGCTGCGGGGTACGTGAGGCGATTTGTCCTGTGTGCTCCCTGATCCGGTCACGGCGCAGGTTATGAAGACTTTCCGGTTCATCTGCAATGGCATGTTATGTCTCCTATCGACCTTTCCAGACAGGGTCTCGTTTTTCTGCGAAAGCTCTCGCTCCCTCGAGCTGGTCCTCGGAGCGATAGAGCCGTTCGACAGTTTCAAATTGGCTTTTGGTAATGCGGTTCAACGCATCCTGAAACTTCATGTCTTCCGCCTCTCTCACGACTTCCTTGATCGCCGCATAAACAAGCGGAGGTCCTGACGCCAGCAGATTGGCGAGTTTCCACGTCTCTTCCTTGAGACGCTCAGGCGGATGGATATGATTTATCAGGCCCCAGCGAGCAGCCTCCTCGGCATCAAGCCAACGGCCTGTCAGAAGCATTTCCATCGCGATGTGATAGGGAATTCGCTTCGGCAACTTGATACTAGCCGCGTCGGCAACCGTCCCAGAACGTATTTCAGGCAAGGCGAAAGTTGCATGATCTGCTGCCAGGATGACATCCGCTGACAACGCGAGTTCCAGCCCGCCTCCACAGCAGATTCCGTTGATTGCCGCAATTACGGGTTTGTTCAGACCGCGCAGTTCCTGGAGCCCACCGAACCCGCCCTTGCCGTAGTCGCCGTCGACTGCATCACCGTCTGCGGCAGCTTTCAGATCCCAGCCCGGACAGAAAAATTTTCCTCCGGCACCAGTGATGATTGCAACACGCAATTCAGGATCGTCTCGAAAATTAGTAAACACCTCCCCCATGATCCGGCTTGTTTCCAGATCGATTGCATTTGCCTTCGGACGATCGAGTGTGACTTCGAGAATTCGGTTTTCTTTCCGGATTTTCAGGGGGCTAGCCATCGTTTTACACCTCACATCTGATCAGCGCGTCCGCTGCAATGGCAAAGTTTTCACCGCAAAGGAGCGGATTAACTTCAACATCCGAAACTGCCGCCGACATGGCATAGGCCTGAACCGACATCACTGCGTCGACAATCGCTGCCCTGTCGCAAGCCGGTTGCCCGCGATAACCCTTCAGGACACACCCAATCTTCAATTGATCCAACGCCGTTTCAACGTCACTCCGGGAAACAGGCAAGATCATCGAGAAGCTGTCTTGAAGCAATTCGGTAAGCACTCCGCCGGCAGCCAGCGTCAGCACATATCCGTGAGCCGGATCCAGCACGACACCAATCAGCAATTCGATCACCGCAT